ACTTATTCAAACTGTATGCTGAGCAAATAATACGAGAAGCTGGGTTCTATGAAGAAAAACGTGGCATCAGGATTGAAGACTCATTAACAACCTGTGATATGCAGATGATACAACCTTGCTTGCTGAAAGTGAAGAGAAATTAAAACTTACTGATGAAGATCAAAGAGCACAGCCTTTGGTATGGATTACATCTCAATGTCAAGAAAATAAAAATCCTCACCACTGGACCAATAAACATTCTTATCAACGGAGAAAAGATTGAAATTGTCAAGGACTTCATTTTTCTTGGATCAACTATCAACACTCACGGAAGCAGCAGTCATGAGATCAAATGATGGATTGCATTAGGCAAATCTGCTGCACAAGACCTTTTTAAAATGTTTAAGAGCAAAGATGTCAGCTTGAGGACTAAGGTGCTCCTGACCCAAGCCATGGTGTTTTCAGTAACCTCATATGCATGCGAAAGCTGGACAATGAATAAAGAAGACTATAGAAGAATTGACGCATTTGAGTTATGGAGTTGGAGGAGAATACTGAAAGTGCCATGGGCTGCCAAAAGAACCAATAGATCCGTTTTGGAAAAAGTGCAGCCAGAGTGCTCCTTGGAGGCCAGGATGGCCAAACTTTCTCTCATACTTTGGACATATTGTCAGGAGGGACCAGTCACTGGAGAAGGATATCATGTTTGGTAAAGTGCAGGATCAGAGAAAAGAGGAAGACTCCCAACGAGATGGACTGGCCAATTGGCAGCATCGATGGACTCAAGCGTGGCAACAGTAGTGAGGTTTAGCCCAGGATTGGGCAGTGTTTCATTCTGCTGTGCACAATGTTGCTATGGGTCGGTACCGACTCAATGGCACCTAATAACAACACGAATCCTGGAAGGAGCTTTGGTAGCATAGATACGAATCGGGCTATGAAGCACAAGGTCAGCAGTTGAAAACTACCAGTTGTTCTGCAGGAGAAAGATGAGACTTTCTGCTCCTGTAAAGATTTATAGCCTTGGAAACCCTGTACAAGGTTGCCACGAGTTGGCACATAATGAATCCTGGTGTGGCGCTGTGGTTTAATGCGCTGGACTGCGTAATCTGTTTGAACTGCAGTCAGTGATTCAAGCTCACCAGCTGCTCCTTGAGAATCCTGTAAGGGTCACTCTGGGTCGAAACCAAGCTTAAGTCACTTAACATGACGGCTGGAGTCCTGGTGTGGTGTTGCAGGTAAATGCACAGAACTGCAAGGTCGGTTTGAACAAGGTCAGTATTTCATGCTTCTAGAAAACCCTTTGCAGGATAGCTGAGTCGGGACTGACTGGACAGCACATAACAGCAATGTGATGGCTGGAACCGTGGTGGCCTCAACTAGGGCCAGACCAAACAACTTCACGGATCTTCTACGGACGATCCCCACCCGTGTTCTAAGGAGGGAAAGGCATCATGCTTGGTAGAGAGTCAGTAAAAAAAAAAAAGAGGAAGACGCTTAATGAGATGGATGGACACAGTGGTTACAGATCTGAAACCTATCAGTGATTGTGGGGCAGGGGCGGGACACGCAGTGTTTCCTTCTGTTGTTTGTATATGGGAGCACTCTGAATTGAAGCCCACTTGATGGGCACTTCCTTCCGAGAGGAGAGTCAGAGTAGGTTAGAAGCACAGATCTTCGGGTTGGCGCTGATGCCACCAAGGTCTCTGCCTGCCAGGAACTATGGACGTAAACTCATCCAGGTGGATCCTAAGTAGCCACTGTTGGTTTTGTTGGGTGTGGGAATGCCGCTGTGTTCATACCCCTAATCTGCTAGAGTCAAAAGGCCTTCAAAAAAGTTTGTGGGAAACAGAATTTCATTCTTTTCCCATTGACCCTTTGAAAGTCAATCATAGCTGAGATTTACTTTGGAAATAGCCAGTGGAGGCTGTGGGGGTTATGACCGGCAGAACGTGGCTAGGTGACAAGGACATTAAACTACTCTCAAGTTCTGTACACATATAAAATCGTATTTACCAAAAAAGGAAAACGAAACAAAATCAGAAAACAGGAAATAACGAAGACCAAAACCCAAGATTGCAAAACACCAAATCTATATTTACATCCAAATATAATAACATAACTTTATTAAGCTGAAATATATCATAAATAAAACAAGTAATGTCTACTGTTTGACAACTTAGGTATCAACAATTAAAATAAATCAAACTGGAATGAAATAAATACATAAACAAAAATCCAACGAATTGTACCTCTATTATATGTACTGTTGTCTCAAAGAAAGGAAAAAAAGGAAAACAAAAAACAAAAACCATACAAAACCAGTAGTACTCCAATAGCTAATACTGATGAGCAAATAACATATTGTGAAGTACAGGGCTTGGGGGGGGCGGGGCGGAAGGAAGTCTGCATTTTTTTGCATTCAGAAAAGTGGTTGGAAAGGAGGAATCTGAAACCCCCAAAATTTCAGCACAACACGAATTAACAGTTTTCAAATAGATTTGGTGATTTTTTTATTTTTTTTATTTTTAAGTACAGATTTCCGTTTCAGCCCTCTTTTATCACATGCTCCCTTCAAAGATCTAGCTACATTTACCGTCCCAGCGAGCTTTCTGTAACACTCATTGAATTAGGCAAAGGTCGGGTCAATCACGTTGCAAATGTGTTCATCTTCAAAAATAGACTATAAAAGTGCAAAACTATGAAAACAAAATCTAGATTCTGTACATATGGCTCAGCTTGCGGACAGGAAAAAGGCCAATCGTGTGCACTTTCCTGACAAAGAACCCCACTCCGACGCCAGCGGGCTGCTCTGAGATCAGGCCCCACTCCGTCCGTCGTGGGACCTACACCTATTTCAAGGGCGCATCACTTTGCATAATGAAAAAGTCAGGATCCTTTCCGGGTTTCGCTATTCTAGGTCTTTAACTCTTGCTTGGTGCAGAAGGGCAGGGCAAGAAAAACAAGCAGTGCAAATTTACTTTTGAGATGGTCTCTATCATATAAATTTTGTGATCTCTGAACCTAACGACTGTTAAATAAATCAGCCAGTAAGTAAGGGAGAGCAAGCAGGTAAACTACCTGGAAAGCAAGCCAGTGGGTGGCTGGCTTTAAAACCCAAGGGGCATATGCACTGGGGAGAAGGATGTGCCTTCAAAACAATCAAGAGGGGGGAATGTTAGGGCAGGGTGGGAAAAGACAGGGAGACCACAGGTCTCTGGAAGCAGGTGGTCCCTTCCCCGGAGGCTCAGCCAGCAGTTCCTTATTCAAGATCCATGTGAGGTGTCCAAAGTTAATCTAGATGCCAGACACGCCAAGACGTCTCCATTTAAAACCAAGATTAACCGAAACACTTCATTTACTGCAGATTGCTTCCCAAGATCTGTATAATTCACATGTATAACTAAGCATGCGTTTTTACATACTAATGTAGGCAAATGGCCCCCAAATGGAATTTTCCAACAGAAATGATTATTTTGAAGAAGATAAATTTCAATCACTTGGTATATTTCCTCAGCATCTGGCTGTTCTACAGAGAAAGCCGCTCTGTAAACACACACACTGAAAAATCCCACAGACCATTACGGCCTTGACGTAAAGGGTCCCGTGGCCCCAGAACAATCTATGGAGCAGCCAGAAGCCAGAATGTGTCTTTCCCTAGTGGACACAGTACGTCTGTAAGAGGATGGCACCCCACAGTTAAGGGCTGAGGTCAGCACGGCAGGACACACTGACAGGAGGTGGTGAGCACTTCCATTAAGACAACAACAGCTGGTGGAGGTTAATTTAACATCATACAAATCATTGAGAATCTAACCAAAAACAAACATTTTAAATGAAAGAGCAGAATAGTGAAGACTGCTCAAGTGATAAAGAAGAAAACAAAACAAAAAAACAACCACATACAGTATTTTAAACAAGCAGGTTTCCAACTTAATATATTTACAGATTTTTTACCTGAGGTGCAAGCATTATATACTTTCTCCCTCCCACCCCACCCCCATCCCAGAAAATTTCTTTTCAGCAGCGCTCAAGTATGCAAAAAACAACAACAACAACAAAAACCCACCACTTCCTATTTGGTCAATTCTAAAAAAAAAAATATTATTCAAGAACAAAATAGAGATTTCTGGTCTCCATGGGTGTACACCTCAACTCTAGTTTTTATTGCTATTTGGTACAAAAGTTAACAAACAGAACCACTTTACACAACTGTAGTGTTCCTTGTGTGGCTTTTCAGTCCAGTCACAGCTTAGTTCAGTAGCTATCAGATCTGCTTTCTCAAAGGATGAACTAACGGGATTCCAAGGAGAGTTCATGTTTCTATCCATCAAGAGCTGGAGGGGGCAAAAAAAAAAAAAGGTTTTGAAGTCATTAAAGTAGAATGTGGCTTTGAAAGTTCCTTGGGGGAGGAATCCAGCATAAACAAGTAAGCAAACTAATAAATGAAAGACCGTGAGTTCCCTTTAAGATCATCTTTCTGAACCAGAAGTATCAGGAGACTGAGTAAGTAAAGAGGAGACTCCCAGCATGCATTGTTCCATAATTCAGGTCTCAGTTTCTTCATCTGACAAGGGGTCAGCAAACTACCCAAAGAGAGCCAGGTCAATAGTCCCAGCTTTGCAGGATATACAATTAAATGCCAGCTTTGCTCCCTCACCCCACTCAACTCCAGCGTTTTACTGGGGAAGCACTCAAACACCATCTGTAAAGGGACAGGCACGGGTGTGTGCCAATAAAACTTTATTTACAAATACAGGAGGCGCTCATCCTATTGTGAGGAATTATGTGAGGTCATGCTTGTGAAACACTTGGATCCAATCGATGCCACTGCAGTTTGCACTATCCTTACCCTTGCTGATACCTGAGACATGACTAACCAAAGTTTGTTAACACGTCTAAATTCAAACTAAAATCCATTTTACTGTACCATATTGGACACACTAACTGGTTTATTTTCTAGTTCATTACATCATATTCAATGAAAACATATCCTTACCATTTTCTCCCAAACTAGGAAATCAAGTTTTTTTGTCATTTGGTCGATAATGTGCATTCCCAATAAAACTCTCATAGTTTCTCTTTTGTAGCATGCTGTTGGATAAATGTTGGTAAGATACAGGCCTTTTTCCTGATTGGGGGGGGGGAGAAAAAGGTAGTTAGGTAAGATGTTCTCAAAGGGTCAACTTTCAAAATTCCTAATGATGTGGCCCTATAGGATAAGCATTGGACTGTTAGCCAACCACAAGGTGACTGGTTCAAACTCACCAGCTGCTCCTTGGAAACTCTAGATGAGTCGGAACCGACTCAACAGCACTTTAAAACCATAGAGCTAGGAGGTGTCATCCAGGTGACAACCATTAGTAAAGAAGAAAAAGTCCAAAGAAAAGGGCAGCAGGCAATTACTTCAAATCCATAAGCCTCCTGCCTTAAGACGGAGCAGAAGAGGGGTAGAAACAGCACACATTCACTGAGACAAAGGTGTGATAGCAAAGCAGAGCCTTTTCCTTCGGTCCATTTTAAGGACAAGGTGGGGAGGAAATGGACCCTTTGAATCAAAAGAGTGTGTAAATGGACATTTCACAATGAACTCCATACAGGGAGTGTGTCAAAGCTACTGGTTACGAATCAGCAGCAGCGTATTGCAGACTGCGGTCAGCAACCGTGAGGTCAGAGCTGGGCTTTGGTCTCTCAGAGCAGTCGAGTCCCTGTATGCTCATGGGAGGTATTTTGATTTCTCAAGTTCGCCCTGTGACACCCCGGGGGTCCGATTACACGCACATCTATGTGCCAGACACCTGGGCAGACACCACCATGAACAAACGCTGGCTTCGAAAACGTTCCATTTGAAAAATGTTTCCAAGGGGCAGGACTCTAGCACACTTTACGAGACTAAAAATTTACATCTGTGGAGAGATGTTATTTAAACGAGATGGGGATGACCCATCAGAGAGCCGGTGCATTTATTTCCTGCCCCTAATGGGTCAAGGGTGGTGTCTTGGGCACCCACTGAGCCCACTTTCCACACCAGGAGGGAGACAAGTACGAGGTTTTGCCTTAAGGAGGAGTGTACATGCTAGTCGGGGTGGTAAGACACAGACAAACACAAATCACACCATAGATGTGCCAAGAAGTAAAAAGGACTACAGTGGGGTGGGTGGGTCTAAATGACACCTCAAACTTCAACCACAGGATGTGTTGTGGCGAAGTGGGTGTGTTCAAATGACCAGTCCTTGTAACTAGCTGCTCCTCTAGACCAGACTAATGGCTTTCTACCATCGCCCCCAATACAATACCCCTGGAGTTTTATCACCATTTCCCTGGGAAGCAAAGCCTAGTTAGTAAGTGAAAGAAAAGACAAGCCTGACGTGTGAGCCCGAGCTGTCTTTTGCAGGGCTACACCCATCAGGTACTAGCTAGTCTGGGCACAAATGCAAGCAGGGTCTCAGTCACTGGGTAATACCTTCTAGCGTGGCGCTCGGTGCCTGACTGCTAGCAGGTCCACAGGGAGAGTACAGTGGTCCGGAGCCGCCGTATGTCTTCTGCACAGTCAGCACGCTGGGTGGCTCCACCTCACTGGAACTCAAGAACCTTGGTTTGGGGGACAACACTGATGGCGGTGAGCAGGCGCACTCCTGAGGCAGCAGGCTGGAGACCCCTCGCATGTGGTACTTGGGAAGGTCATAGCTCCGCCTGCGGTAATTGGGCCCAGGCTGGTCAACGGCAAGAGTTACCACACTCGGCTTTAGTCTTTTGGGAAGCGGCTCACCAAATTCCGTGGTGGCACTGCCAACACCCCGGGTAGAGAAATAGTCTCTTCCCGGAGCGGCCCAGGGACTATCATTCTTGGCCAGGTGGTCCACGGAGCCATTGATGTGGCCACTGCTTAGGGGGGGCTGGGCAGGGCTTCCAGTCAGGGGTTTCAGCTTTGCCTCGGTTCTTTTGGCTTTGTCCACAGCAGGAGAGATGCTGGCCTTCGAGAAGCTCTCGGGGGGCTGCGGTCTGGCGGGGGCAGCTCCTTGTCCACCGGGGCTCTGCTGGGGCCGGTGAGCCTTCAGGTTACTGGGGACTAAAGTGCTGGAGTCGGTCCCCGAGGTCGGAGGAGCTTTGCCGGGCCCCAGGGGGCACTGTTTCCCCTTATCGGCCGGCAGGGGTTTGGCCTGTGCGAGCAAGGCTGACTTGGGCCTGGGTTTGTGGGGATTGGCCAGGGGTGGCACGTCCTTGCCGAGCAGGGCTGGCGGGCACCCGGTGCGCCGACTCCTCAACAGGGACTTGTTTCTACAGTTTTTGTGGGTGTCGGGGTTGTACTTGTGTTCCAACCGCTGGTGCATCATTAAAACCTCAGGGTAAAATGTCTTGAAAGCACAAAAGGGGCAGGCAATACTTGGGATTAAGCTTTTGCTCAAGGAGATTGCTGGGCAGCTATGCAGGGCGCCCAGGGACAGATTCAAAGGCTTCTCCTGAAAGTCTTGGGGGGACTTGGGTTTGCAGTCACTGGCAACCTCGAGGGTCTTCTCTCGGGGGCCGGCTTCCAGGCGGTGGGGGGCACCATCGTCGGGGTGGGGAGCAGCACCCACCTGGGCCTTGCTTGCTTGGGGCTCTACCCCAGCCCTCCTTTTGAGCGGGTCCAGGTAAGTGGGGACAAGCGTTCTGTGCGTGCTGTCGTCGGCCACATCCTTACGGCAATCCTGAGCATCTCTGTGAAGAGGTGAGAGGACAACACTGCCTAGAAGGTTCTGGAAGGCAGGCGGCAGCTCCTTGGGTTGCTTTGCAGGGGGACTGCCTTTCACATCTTTGGCACCATCGAAAAATCGTTTCAAATTTTTGGTCTGCCCACTCTCGGCGGGTAATAGTGCATCCTCGGTCTCCTGATTTTTACTGTCGCCCTTGACCTCAGGGGGGACCTCTGGCTGTTTGTCCTTGTGGTGCCTCTCCAGGTGGTACCGCAGAGATGTCTTCTGGGCTGCAGCATAGGTACAAAAGTCACATTTGTACGGCTTTTCCCCTGAAAGGAGACACGGGTTATGGGACATTCAGACAGAGGCCTCAAGTTCGTCTCCCTGCCCACTCCCATAGCCTGGACTTCCCAGGCACGGCCTACCTTGGTCAGCAGTACTTGTTAAAAGGAAAACAGACCCCGCACATATACATACATATAAAGAGAAATACCAAAACAACAACTTCCCTGGAAACTTTTCTCATTTTAATCCTCATATGAGACCCACAGATGTTGACAACGATTAAGCCCTTTATTATTACGACCTATCATTTAAAAAGACTCTTTCTTGTTTAGGTCGTAATTCCTGTTTTACAACTACAAGCACTGGAGCACAGAGAGGTGAACTAACATGCCCCGGGCTGCACAGCTACAGCCATGACATAGCAGCTACTTCTGTCATCTAGAGATTACTACTAACTGCATTCCCAGGTCATACCATCCCCAAAACGGACCAGTCAACGCTGTGGCCTTAGGGCAGACTCCAGTTCTCATGGGATGAGGGTCAGGATCCAGCTGCTATACAGCAGGCAAGAAACTCCCTTCAATAAGAGGGACACACACAACAGGTGAAGCTACAATGACACCAAAATCTCCACACTGTGGGTTCATTCTTGAGCTATTCCAAGGGCCCCAGAGTATTTGAATGACGAGACTGTCACATAACAAGACGGTGGCTCCCTGAACTCACGCACGCATCTGAGAAGAAGGAAGTTGTTCTCTTACCTGTGTGCGTTCTGAGGTGAATGTTGAGGTAGTAATTTGAGCGGAAAAACTTTCCACAGTAACTACACTCTCGTGAGGACGTAAGATGCTTTATCTTTCCTCCATCTTCATTTTTATCTTGAAAAAAACCAGGACACAAAAAATGGGTATGTTAAAAAAACAGCTGAATCCCTCAGTAAAGTAAAAATACTTAGTAATTCTAAGTTTAGCCCAGAGAACAAACGACCGCTTTTAGGAACTAATTGAAGTTTTTGTCTCGCTCAGTCCCATCAAATGGCATGAACATTATCAGTGTGAAAAGCTCTTTGATATAAAAACACTAAAAAATATTTAAAGAGCAAAAAAAAAAAACAGCTGAAGCACAGGAATGAGGCATATTGATGTAAATTATTAAATATTTTGGAAACATTTTCTGAAAGCATAAAGAATACTTATAACATGTGTTGGGATTTAAAAAAAAAAAGTGGAAACACAAGCATACCAAATGTCGTTTTGCAGTGTGTATATATGTGCATATACTTTGATTTATTTATTTTTTTTTTTTAACTGCGTGTTTGGTTCCTTAATCCCAAGGTATGGACCAGGAGAGGCAGCACTCTGTCTGGCACAGAATCTGGCACAATGAAGCTTGTGGGGTGGGGGGTAGCATCACCACCAGGTGGGAAGTCTAAACACCCCCCCCTCCCCCCCCAAGAATAAATTAGGAAAAAAGGTTTCTGACTTTGAGATCAAGCATGTCACCACTAGAGGGCAGCAGGCACAAACTGAATCTTTTAACAGAAAATGACAAAGTTTAGGCATGGGACACACACCTAACAAAGTTTGGGAGAGCAGACTACAGTTCCACATGCACCACCTGGGCAGACCTGACTGTCACCACCATTCCATGCAGCATACTGGAGGGGGGCGGGGGGGACACAGACACAAATTACCATCATCCTGATTGTCTCCCAGTCACCAGCTCACAAAGACAACCAGATGCACTAGTTTTAATTAAAATACTATTACAGTGCTGACTCAGAGCGTCCCTGGATAGGGTTTTCAAGCCACCGACATTGTAGCTCAGATTGACCTTGCAGCCCAGAGAATTATCCTGCACCAGGACAGTTAAAATAATCCCCCAAAATGGAAGTGTTAGGGCTAGAACCCCACCCGCCCCTTTACTGCAGAATCAAACTACCACATGTCTACAACCAAACTCTGGTCATCTCAAAATGTGTCTCAGTCAACCTGGTCATTCTGCCTTGAAAACCTGGAGTTCCCCCATTTCCTGGCCTCACTCCCCCAGCTTCAGTGAGCAACTATGAACCAAAGACAGGGGCTGAACCCGCCTCCCCCAATCCCATCCCCATTCAGGAAAATGCACACTCATTTAGAAAATACGAGCAAGCCCTTGATCTAAAAAGGTGTCAAGAAGACCACATTTGTCGTGTGGCCCTCATAAAAGTAAATATAAAAAGAAGGTTGCAAGGACACTAAGACAGAGCTAGACTAGAAAGCCAGGTGATGATGTAAATGAAGGCAAAGGATGAGTTCTCTTGCTAGGGAGAACCTAGCTGGCTTATTAATCATGCCGGGGGAGCTGGGCTTCCTATACCCGGCTTCATGTCAGGACTGGCGGTGGTGGTATGCTGCGTCGTGGTTCTTTCCTCTAGAACAAAGGACGTGAAATGCCCACCTCTGCCTGGTTGCTGCTCCCTTAGCGTCAGTTCTGATTTTGCGGTGCCGACCAGTGCACAGGCTACAGAAATGATCCTTAGGACCCGGGAACCGATTTTAGCGACAGCAGAGCTGACAGGATACACATAGGATTGGCTCCCAACTGTCCACTGGTGGGCAGGCCCACGCAGTCTTCTGTCCTATCCACCATCAGTGACTGGACACAGTGCTCTTTCAGGACACTGGGGTATCACGCAGGGCCTGATTAATCTGTCTTGCGCAAACATTTGTGCCCAGCATTCATGGGGATCACTTTTGAGAGCAGGCTCCTCTTTATGAGGTAATGAAACCACCACCACGTGTTCGCTAGGGTTCTGACCAGTGTTAGGTGTGTACTTTAGGAAACACCAAACCATCTACTAAACAGTCTATATAAAAAGTACAGGTCTCACACCCTTCAGAAATCAGAACGGAAGCACACACTACACACTGTCAAGAGTGACCGTGGGTCTCATACAGAGTCTGAGAAGACACACAACAGAATTATGCAGAAAGGGGGATCAAAGGGCACAGGAACTGAGGGAACTTCTGTAAAAACTCCTGTTTCACTAAGACTGGCTAATGTTCTCCCTACAGGGGCCCCGAAACCATTCATTCCAGCTCGACTCCACCCAGACATACTGGATCCATCTACACTGGAGAGCAAGATCCCCAGCCTCCTCACAAGCAGGTCTCAAACAGTCCAAGAATGAACTTGCTGAAACCTTCGCACATGTGAACGCAGGTCCTGACCTCTTGCTTCTCAGAACCACTCTAAGTGCACCGAGCCTCACACTGAGTCAAGGAGAGGCTCCCGCGGGGTGCCTGCAGTGCCCAGGACATTCTTGCATTTTGCCAACAGATCGTTTTTTAGGGACTGAGCTCAGTGTTCGAGGATACTCGCCATGCAGGCAGCAGATTGGACAGCACCTGGTGGGTTCAACCAGCCCACGTGCTTGGTCCCAGTGCCTTCTGGGATCGCTAGCGATCCTTCTGGAACAAATGTACAACTTAGCCTGCACAGGAAAGACTCCACCTTGTTCTTAGAGAGCTAAAGGTCAGAGTCTCTCAAGCGCCACACTGCTGACTTGTGGGACCAAATCACTCTTGTGGTGGAGGGCTGGTCACATCCTTGGTACCACTTAGCAGCAGTAATCCCTGCCCCCTCCCCGGCTCTCCAATTACAACCATCAGAAGTATCTCTGAGACACCATCCAATGTCTCCTGGCGTTGGGGGTTAAAGCCACCCTTGGTTGAGAACCATGACTTTTGGCTGATGTACCAATACATTCAATAGCAAAGCACTTTTGGGGACCCAGTTATGATGGGACCAGGAGAGGAAGGCCTCAACTTGCCACAGTCGTGGTCGTCACCAGTGTCTGCTGGGACGGGGGCAGAAGGGGACACACACTGCAATGGCGATGCTTACCCAAGTGGAACCCTTCAGGGAGTCCATCCTCATAACCATCTTCAGAACCTCCTTCTCCCCGCTCCAGCGCCCCGTTCTCATCCAGAGGGGCGGCCAGCTCCGGAGAGCCAGTCCTCGGCTGCCTGGCGTCAGCGGGCATGGTGGGCGATTCAGCGTCGGCCCGCCTGTCTTTCTTGTGGACTCTCGAGTGCAGGACCAGCTGGTGGTAGGTCCTGAAAGCCTTGCCACACTCGGAGCAGTGCGTGGGCTTCTCCTTGCTGTGGACTAACTTGGGGTCTGTGTCCACAGAAGGCACTTCCCCGTTGGCCTGCCGAGCCTTCTCTTTGTCTTGGGCCAGGCCGGCACAACTCCCTCTGTTTGGCTTGGACTTCCCAGACCCTTCCGACTGGCTCTTGTTGACGCTCCATATCTCTCCAAGTTCTTCTTTCTCTGAACACGAATCGTCATTGTCGCTGCTCCCTTCTTGCCCAGGCTCCTTGATTTCTCCTCGGCCAATGGCAACTTTGCCTTTGGTGGCCAACTGCCATGCCTGGTAGGTGTTGAACGGGTCAAGCTGAGGTATCCACTTGGCTGGCTTCTTGACCTTTTCTGGGTGGGCTTTGGGTTGTAACTTTAAGAACTGCATGAAGTCTTCCCTGGGAGCTGGCATCCCCTGAGGCCGGGAGTCGGCCGGCGGCTCGCAGGTGCCGGACACCGTTTCTTTGGTGTGCACTTTGCTGTGCTCAATGAGACCATCCTTGTCTGGGAAGAAGAAGCCGCAAAACATGCAGATTTTGTAGGGAGATGAGATGCTCTCGGCTGCGTGTTCCTGGACCACCTCATTGATGGTTGCAGGGCTTTCTAGGCCTTGCTGAAGCTTGTTTCTGGCCCCGGACTTGCCGGTGTGTGTCCGCATGTGATTTTTCAGAAACCACGGCTCCTTGAAGCGTCGTCCACACACGTTACATCCATACGTGAAGGAGTCCTTGTGTTTCTTCATGTGAATCTCCACATCGAAAGCCACTCGGAACGTCTGCCCGCACACTTCACAGCTAAAGCCGTCGCTGTCTTGGCAGCTCTTCTCCTTCGGGGGTTCGGCATGGTCTTGGCTTTTGTCCAGGGGGCTGAGATACTCGGCTTCGACACACAGAACCGCTGGCTCACACAGGATCGGCCGGTGTTGTATCAAGACGTGCTTGTTGAGTTCTTCTGAATGTGCAAAGGCCTGACTACAAAACATGCAGTCCAGGGGCAGGTGGCCTTCGATCTGGATGCCGTTTCTCTCTTGCGTCGGTCTGAAGGGCACGGCAGCGGTCCCTTTCATGGACACGCCATCGTCCGTTTCTATTGGGGCCCCCAGGGGATTGCCAATGACTTCAGGTCCGTCCATGTACACCAGGAGGGACTGAGTTGGCATGTCTCTTGCTACAGCAGGATTGTATATAAAAGAAGACTCTCCGAGATCCGCCGGCGAATTTCTGGAGTTGGAATAAGGCCACTTGTAAGGCCCCCAAATCAGGGCGAATATGTATTATGAAAGCTCAAAATAAGGTGTGTATTCCTCTAAGTAAGTTATCTTCCGAAGTTTTCAAAAGTTTGGTGAGAGACTGTGGCTATGTTTGCACGCGCAGGGCATGCAGCCCCCCGCCTCCGATGCTTTCCTTCAATCACCAATCCACACAAAGCACGGCTTCTCTTTGTCTCCGTTGAATGGATGATTCAGTTGAGCAAGAAGTCAATCCGAACAGTCTCGAGGAGGGATTTTCAAAACCTAGAGAGAGAAAAATAAACACAGAAATGAGGCGTGAGCTACTTGGAGACAAAACAGAAAGCTGTCCTGGAAAATCCACTGCGGGCTAGTCCACCAAGCAGAGCAGGTGCCTCATCCAACTGCTGGCCTTTCCGTCCATCACATGCTGCTAGCCAGGCCTGCTACTGAAATCATTCCTATCACATCACTAGCAGTTCAACCCCTTGAGAAACTTCGCGATTCAGCCAAGGAGGAGACTTGTGGTACCCCAGTTAAAGCACTCAGGTGGCTAACCAAGAAGGTCAGCAGTCTGAACCCAACAGGCCCTTTGTGGGGAGAAAGATGAGGCAGTCTGTTTCTGCAAAGATTTACCGTCGCAGAAGCCCTATAGGTCCTATTATTGTTGTTTGTTAAATGCTGTCAAGTTGATTCTGACCCACAGTGACCCTGTATAAGGTTTCTGAGAAGCAGCTGGTGAGCTTGAACCGCCGACCTTGCATCCAGCGCTTTACCCCACAGTGCCACACCAGGACTCATGGGTCCTCCTGAGGGACTGATTCAGAAACAACTTTGATGGCAGTGGGCTGGTTTTGGTTTTCGTGGATGTTTTCAAGGCCATGTCCTGGGATACAGCACTGGACCGCAAGGTCAGTTTGAAACACAAGATCAATGGTTGTTAACTAAGAATTCCAAAAACCCATGCAGGGTTGCTATGTGTCGGAACAGAGGCAATGACATTTAACAACAAAAACAGAAGAGCCACGTCAGGCCTAAAGACAGCCTCCACAACTCTTATTATTGTTGTGGTTCTGTGCCGTGGAGTCGGTTCTGACCCACAGCAACCCTGCACAAGATTTCCGAGGCTGTAAATCTTTACGGGAGCGGAAAGCTTCATCTTTCTCCCACGGAGCAGCTGGTAGTTTCGAACTGCTGACCTTGCAGTTCGCAGCCCAATTCGTAACCACTACGCTACCCAGAGCTGCTTTCCACAACTCTAGATACTATATAATCTGCTTGGGTCCTGGCGTGGCACTGCGGGTTAACTGTAAAGTCGGCTTGAACCTCAGCATCACTTTGAGTCAGAACCGAGTCGATGGCACTTACCAACATATAAACTGCTAACAATAAGTTAACAAAATTAAATCACTTTAGGGAAAACTTACAAAGCCAGAGCTTCAAATGATTACAAATACAATACAGAAGCCTGAAATACACCTGAAGGTCACACCTGTTAGGTCAACACCTTAAGCTGGCAAAAATAGGAGGGGCAGGCAACCTTTCCTGAGATTCCCATTCAAGAAACACAAAGAACCTTCTGAGATGGGTTGAGGTGACCTTGATCCATGTAGAATCCACTAGATGGTCTAAACCTCAGGTCACTGCCCAGAGCCCAAGGTTGCTTTCAACAACAAGTGCCACAGCAGACTTCCTTGTGCTAAACAATATATAAGACGTACAATGTTATGTCTCCATTTAAAGTCCAACCCTGAGACAGCTGCCTCCACATGGCTTAGTCAATGCGAAAAGAGACCCTTTCTCATTCCTCTAGGCACGTTTCCCATCGCCATCAGCCAGGTGAATACTGCGCTGCTTCCTTTTGCTCTGCAGGCTACTTTTGAAGGCAAGCCTCATTCTTGGGCTTAAACTCTAGTTTAAGAATTAAACTGTACTCCAAGACGGTCCACTTTCACGACAAGCACAGGAATTGTTTTTAAACAAGTCCCAAACACTTTCATTTAGTTAATTGACCTCCGAAAACAAAAAGGCATACACACAGGAGTCCTGTCCTCCGCAGTCCGAGTACAAACACCTGGCTTCTTTCTTGTCTCCACTTCCTCAAAGAACAAGGTCTTGCGGGCTCAGAAGACCAGGAAGCCTTTTTCCCCCTTCTTCATACTCAGAGAAGAAACATCCTCAAACTCCTGGTTTACCATAGAGTTTTGAATAAACTAGACCTCTCCCATGAAGCTATTCTAAGTAAGACTGCAGAACAGGGATGACACAGGAGAGAGGCACCACCACAGAAGGCATTTCTCGTCACTTCTCACGTCTGTTCTTTGTTGGAGACACAATGCAGGGCTATCACAAGGGCTAGGCTGGTTCGCAGCCTGGTGTGACACAACACTCCAGAGGCCCAGGTTCTAGGCCGGCCTAAGTCACAACCTTAAAGTGGTCCCCACCATATACCTCTCTCATCTGTATCTACTGCATGAAATAGATAGGGATACAACTATGGGAACAGCGTTCCAGTCTCAGGTGCAGAGGGCAGGTCTGTACTTAGGTACACAGATTAACCTGATCTTCAAGACCTTTCCAGATCCAGGTATTAAATGATAGCTAATAATTTAGGAGCTCTGGTAGCGTAGTGGTTACGAATCGGGCTGCGAACCATAAGGTCAGCAGTTCGAAACTACCAGCCGCTCCGCGGGAGAAAGATGAGGCTTTCTACTCCCGTATACACCCTCGGAAACCCTGTACAGGGTCGCTATGGGTCGGAACCGACTCGAAGGCACTTAACAACAACAACAACAATAATTTAGGATTCTATGGAAGCAGTTACTAAGAATTCCATGATTTATTGAATGCTGGTGGTTCCAGGCAGTATTGTAACTGAAGGATTAACAGCCCACATTCTAGGAAAACCGCTCTCAAACTGATGCATTGTTTTCCTAGCCAGCAGCTAAATGAGAAATCATCACTGAGGCCTGTGCATAGCTACAGCTTCTCCCTTCCCACCACCTCAACTCAGTGACCTGTGTCCCGAGGCCTTGCCTATTTTTTGGTGCTAAAATCGCTTTTTAACAAACAAAATAGTGCTAATAGCACATAGAAAACGTAATTCCTTTTTTCTTTATGTCCTTGTTTCACCAAATCAAAGTTGGCCTCCATGTCAGATTCTAAAGTTATTTGAGAACTTTGCCCCATTTGAGAACGTATTAAAATTTTCTGTAGATTATACAGAAAGCTATATAGACTAACCTTTTCTATTAAAAATTTGTTTAAAGGTCCCCAACCTTCCTCTCAGCCCAAATGCAGTCTTTGGGTCAGAAATACACCTATTTTCCCACTCAGAGAAACACCTTAACTTAGTTACTGGAGGTCTGGGAATATATCTGTGGTAAAAGATGGATGTAGTTACTATTTTTCTCCCTCAAATGTTCAAGTATCTGAGTTCCTAAGTCAGTCACCCTTTAGGAACACAAGGCTGCCTGAGGTGACTCCCTGGTGCCAGGCGGTGCATCCTGCTCCCCCTCCCAGGCAAAACAGCAGGCTGCCCTGCTCAGGGGATGTTTCCAGAATAGAGGGTCACCAGGAACTGGGCCCACCTGCCCTGGGTACTCAAACGCCAGGCCACAGTTGACTCTCATTCACACCAGACTAGCAACACCCTGCCACCACCCCATCCTTTAGTCACAGAACACCCTGAACGAGACAAGAGCCTGCTGTTGGCAGTGTAGAAACTGTAAGGAATGCCACTCATCAGTGCGTAGAACACAAGCTATAAGTAAACGTCCACTAAAAACACAAGAAAATAAGTCTTTTAAAAATACGCACAGAATACACGTGGCCCCCTTCTCCGACTTACGCTGAATAATATGCTATCACGGCCCTTGGAAATCTCCTTGGTTTATTTGTTTGCTTATCCTCGGTCTATAAGTAACATCTTAGGGGCAAGGTGCACGTGGGTCTTGTGGCCACTCTCCACAGTAGGAAGACCTGGGGGCCTGGCACCTGCTGGCTGAGGGGGTGGGGGGGAGGAGGAGGTGAGAACCCACTTGAAATGTTCAACAAAACTTCTCCCTGGCTGTCTGTGACTGCCGTCTCATTCTCACTGCCTGCCTCCGTCCAACAGCGCAGTGTGAAACTAGGGTTAGGGTTCATTTCTCAAACCATCAAAGTCATCAACTAGGAGGAGGTGTCTACTACCTCCTCCTCCTCTGAGCCCTACTCTAGGACTTCAAACCAATGTGCTAACTGAAACCCAGAAGCCGGGCTGTATTAATAAAGGACTTGAAGAACCTATGAAAACACAAGTTGAATCTAATGACTGTCAAATTAACAGTAAACAAAGTGTGTGTTAAGTGCCCCATAGGGCTTGCCCAGAAGCCTACCAGCCCGCCACACGTGGAGCCCAAGAGGGAGCTGGGGGGGGGGGACTATAATCCAACACTGCAACTGAAATGCTTTCACTGTAAGGTATTTCCCAGAAATGGGAATCCAAGACAAATATTTTATAAGAATACTAGTTAATTTATACTGTGATTATTTAAATTTTTAAAAAATTCATCACAAGATAATCTTTGAGATCCAGCTGGAATCACACTGCTGCAACTGTGTGAAATTGCCATCTCATGTTCTTGAGATCAGGTTTGTTAAGAAATGGCACTGGTTTGCAACGAAAGCTGAGAATTCTGACCACTATACACCTTGAAATTAGTAAACAAGTCACATTCTATGGAGTCCTGGTGTGGTGCTGTAGGGCAAGCACTGGACTACTAACCAAAAGGTTGACAGTTCAGACCCACCAGCCGCACCTTGGAAACCCTACACAGTGTCATTAAGAGTTAGAACCGACTCAAAAGCACTTAACAACACACGCCATACAACGCATCGTGAGTACCACAGTAATTTAGGCAGGATCTGAGCAGCCCAGAAAGTAGAGGCAC